GTCTTGTAAAGAGGCCTCCTGGACATGGTGCTGCAGGTGTTAAGTGAACAGTGGAGCCCACAGAGTAACCTTGAAAATCCCGTGAACTTGAGTGAAGAAGCTGGTGGAAGGCTAAAGCTTACATTATAAAAGCCAAACAGAACATAGTGGAATTGACATTTTGGTTTAACTTGTCATTAGTTTTTTTTTTTTTTTTTTAAATAATCAACCTTGTAAAAACCATGCCCAGTACAGATTTTCCTCTCATTTTGGCTTTCCCTGAGGCTATCTGGCTATTGCAGTTTGAATACTTAAAAGACTTTTTAAATTTTTGTTTTTTCTTTCAAAAATAGGATTTCCATTTTAGAACTGCTTCTAGTACATACAGTGCTTTTGTGCTAATTATTATGCCCCATCCCCCTTCACCTCCAGATGAATTACACAATAGGGTCCTTCCATCAGTCATGAGTGTAGGACAAAGAAGTGTCTAACTTTGGGCCGCCCTGCTCACTGTCCACGCTCAGCATATGCTGAACACAGATTATTCAGAAACATGACTCTGATGTGTAGCCTTCAACTTCTTTACCCACAGCTGACTAAAAACATTTGCAAGTTGGTCACTTATGCTCTTGTCCCTGGAAAGAAACGGGCCTCATTTCTATCCAGAAAAGTTAGCTATTGCATGCTCCCTTGTGATATGTTCCTTGGCAAAGGGAGATAGATGGTTTTGTGTATGTGGGCAGGCATTGGATGTCACAGTTAGGGCATTCCTTGGACGGCCTGTATCCCATAGTAAGAATATCAGTTCTGCTTCTGAGCTCAGCTTCCTGCTAATGAACACCCTGGGAGGCAGTGGGTGACTCCTCGGGGCTTTGAGTTCCTGCCATGCACCTGGGAGACCGGAAGGGAGTTCTTGGCTCCAGTGTCAGCCTGGTCCAGGCCTGGCTGTTCTGGGTATTTGGAGAGTAAACATCAGTTTGCTTTTCTGCCTTTCAAATAAAAAAAATAAGTAAGTTTAAAAAGCCTTTTTAAAATGTTGTACTATCATTTGTTTAAAACCATTTAATCAGCAAATCTGACTCCAAAGTCATGAGCAATATAAAATCCATTTCTTTAGGAATACAAAGTGTGATGGTTAATACAGAAGTGAGAAGTTTAACCAGAGCATATGGATGCGAGATGATCATGGTTTCTGAATGTGTGATGGAGGGGTTGTCCCTGTAATCAGGGTGTGACTGATTGCATTCTTCAGTATTCTATTTAGGTTTTGCAATGAAAACTGTGCACTTTTTGTTTTCTGTGGGCATTTTTTTTTTCTTTTTAATTAGTTCACCAGTAACTCTAATGGAACCACTGTTTTTCTTTTCTACTAGTGGCTTTGGGGAGTATATTTTGGTATTGTGACAAATCTGCCTGTACTTGTGTGTTTTTAAAGAATGCATACATACTTCCTGTCCAAACATGGCTATTTGGTGTCTAGAACTTTTGTGCATTTTCTAGAATCAGCCAGGGAACACCTGGCTCACCCCCTACTCATTTCCTCCTGCACAGAGCTATGGAGAGGCTCCTGGAGATGGTAGGAGACGGGAGTTGGGGCAGTAACCCATGGGGTCAATGGCGAGAGTGGTGATGCAGAAGGCAACATGTGGATTTATTTTACTGTCAAGAATATAACCATACGACTACACTATGCTACATTAATGTAGATGACACCACCATGTTATTGTCTTCTGTACGATCGGCTATTAAGCCAATCAGGAAGTTTGAGCAAACAAAAAGCCTGCAATAAATGACATCCTCCTGGTATGTGTCAGTGTTATTGCTTGGCATCATTGTTTCATGAGCATTAAAAACACTCTGGCCCCATTCGTACAACAGTAAAACCTTGAAGCGTTTTCCTCCGTGATAGACTAAATCCTTCCCCAGGCTTGATGAGGTTCAGATAGCAGCTCAGTTAAGCCAATCCATTTCCGCAGTTTGTTACTGCCCTGTGCACAGGTTGGCACATAAATGAATGGCTTATTTTCAGTGTGAGGCTTGCCCCTCAGGGCATCCTGGAGCTTGGTGGTTTTAGACCCTGTTGAAGATCAGCAAATATTTGGGAATGTACCTATGGCAGGACCCATGTCTTATCGTGTTCCAGAAAGCTCACTGATTAAAATTTACGGAATATAATTTCAACAAGCTTACTGCAGCTTGTAATGATTTCCTTCCATTGTTTCAAGTTGCATGCATATAGCTTCTGGAACCAGGAAAAAGCGTGGATATTCACCCTGGCCAGAAAAGCTCTCTCTCTTCCTCTCCGGTAAGCAATCAGATAGTTTGCTTACATTTTGGGGTTTTTGTCCTAATGGCAAATCCCTTGGAATTGTGCTAGCTCTTCTCTATGTGTGTTGTGTAGATGCAACAAGTACCAGAGACTGTACTTTTGTGATATTGTATCTACCTTTAGAATTATTTTTTTAATATCTTAATCCAAGCTGAATCTTAAGGCAGATGAACTACTTCCTCAGGTCTCTAGAACTCTAGCTTTTTTTGTGTTGATGCTTGGATTAATTCTTTGATCTTCAATCTTCTAAGGTGGAGCAACCCATGTCCTGTCTACAGAGGAAAGAAATGGGGCCTTAGGTCACACAGATGTGGAATGGGGTAGACAACAGGCATCCAGACCCCTGGCCTTTTCCTGGAACAGAGCAGCTTAAGGACCAAAGCATAGTGTGGGCTTGAATGAGCACTTTTTCTTTTTACACCCAAATGTAGGGAGGCTGAGATGATAGGGAATCCAGCCAGTCATTGTTTGTGGCTTAAGTGACTTTCATTATTGGCTCAGTGGTGGTTCTTATAATCCTAATAGCTGCTTTCCAGAGATGGTGGGTAATTCCCTACTCGGTGACTTCATTTAATCTCTTCCTTTCCAGCTAGGCCCAGCATTTCTGTCTGCTGCCAATTCCATTTTCCCCAAGTCATCCTTTGCTTGATGGTACCATCGTTTGTTTAATCTTTACTGTAGCTGTCTTAGTATTCCACCTTCTGAAACTCTGTAGCTGTCTTAGTATTCCACCTTCTGAAACACATTCAAGCTAACAGTCTAGCTCCAGCTCCAATGATGCCGTGGCATTGGCCTTTTCAGCATTCTAAGGCAGGAAATGGGGATTGCTAAGGCATGAAGCTGTCAAGTGTGAGAGATAAGGGTGATTGAAACTTTAAGATCTTAGTGAAGCCTAGTCATCATTCAGCCTTCTATCCTATGGAGCATGTGTTGTGTGTGAAACCTAGTGCTGCATTTTTGTGCTGCTCTGTGGAATGATTTAGCATCCACGTGGACATGGGTTCATTGAACTATTAGTGTGTTTCAGAGTCTATCCAGCAAAGAACGTTATGAATTGGACCCCTGTATGCATGTTATAAGACAGGTCTTTAAAATGAAAGAAGTAACAATCAATGTAAATGGAGTATAAACTTTTTAGAGAATTAGTCTTTTACTAATTCATTGCTGTATCCATTTGCTTTTGAATGGAATGAATGAATACTTTCTCTCTGTTAGACACTGGCCTACCTACTAAAACAACATCAGCACACAAAAAGAAATCCTTGCCCTCATCTGACACTGCTGGCTTACTATTTTCTCTACATACATCACATTCCTATAAAAATGTGTTTTTTTTTTTAAGATTTGTTTATTTTTATTACTAAGTCGGATATACAGAGAGGAAGAGAGACAGAGAGGAAGATCTGTCCGATGATTCACTCCCCAGATGACTACAACACCCGGTGCTGAACCGATCCAAAGCCGGGAACCAGGAATTTCTTCCAGGTCTCCCACATGGGTGTAGGGTCCCAAGGCTTTGGGCCGTCCTTGACTGCTTTCCCAGGCCACGAGCAGGGAGCTGGATGGAAAGTGGAACTACCAGGATTAGAACTGGTGGCCATATGGGATCCCGGCACATTCAAGGCAAGGATTTTAGCCACTAGGCCACTTTGCCGGTCCCTAAAAATGTTTTTAAAATATGCAGAGTGCCATAAAGAAAAGAAGTGGGTTTCTGTACTTTACCCTTCCCATTCTACCCTGTTATAAATTTTTCCTGGAAAAAATTAGAGGTTTGTTAACTTGTCACAGTAATTTTAAGTTTTATTTATTTATTTTTATTTTAAAGGTAAACTTACAGAAAGAGAGATGGGGGTGGGGGGTGGCTTCCATTCACTGGTTTACTCTCCCACTGGCTGCAATGGATTTGAGTCATCCTCCATTGCTTTCCCAGGCAAAAGCAGGGAGTTAGGTCCTAAGCGAAGCAACTGGGACACAAGCCAGAGCCCATTTGCAATGCTGGCACTGCTGGTAGGTGATTAACTTGCTGCACCACTATGGCGACCACAGTAATTTTCAGGAAAGCTTTCTGCTTTATTTCTCTGCCAGTTGGATACAGGTAACATTTGTACCAAAGAGGAGGGCCTCCTGGTACCACCTACTTTCATATCTAACAGGTAGGAAGAAGAAAAACATGAAGAAGCACACATGAAGATATATGTGTGGTTTTTTCCCTGCAGGGGATTTCACTATGTTGTCCCCGCTAACATATTTGCTTTCCGTTGACTGTTCTTTCTTCAGTCCTAAACATTTTCTTGAGCAAGCTTGATCTTTTTTTGTGACTGGGTCTTGTACGACTTGAGTGATGCTGTGATTCAGAGGCACGTGCTCAACAGACATGACCCCTAAGCTCCGCCTCTAGTGATTCTCATTTTGTGGACCTGGAATGGGAGTCATCAATGGTTTTCTCAAAGCAAGGTGTTGAGGAAAGACAGAACGCCCTGTCTCGATGGAGGGCTCTGAAGTGTCCTAAAGCTGAGCCATAAGACATGACTTGGATGTTGTTCTTACATGCCAAAGAGGCTGACTAGACATGCTGTGCCTGTACTGGAGAAGTCAGCAGTCTCCCAAGGAGACTGTTTTATTGTCTGTTCACCAGTGGGAAGAGAAGTCTGCCTCGGTGTTATTAACCAGCTTTCTTGGGATTTCCTTGTAGGCAATGGTAGCCTGCTACCCGGGAAATGGAACGGGTTACGTTCGCCATGTGGACAACCCCAACGGTGACGGCCGCTGTATCACCTGCATCTACTATCTGAACAAGAACTGGGATGCCAAGGTATTGAGGACTAACGGGAGCATGCATGGAATTAGGAAAGCACAGGAAGAGTTGAGATCCTTCAGAGGAAAGTTCTGCATGTATAATAGCTCTCTCTCTGCTACTGATGAATCGTGTCTTTGGTTCATTTTTTCCTTTCCCTCCTCCCCCATGAGATCAGTACTAAATTTGATGAGCTGAAGATCAGGTATATAAAACTAATTTGGAGGAGGTTAGGTATGATCATTATTAAGATATGGAATGGGTGCTCGACAAAGGGAAGGTAATTTAATCTTTAGGATTGGAGATACATTTTTTTAGTGTAATTCTGAGCTGATGGGACTCTCAGTACAGAATAGGATGTACGTGTTTCCCTCCAACAGCAACACTGAGAGAACAGCACAAAAATAGAACTTATAGGATTCGTCCCCAAGAGAAATTTCCCTCACACGCCTCTTTCTCAGGGTGATACATCTTGCTGATGGCTGCTTGCCATGGCTCACTATAGTGCATGTGTGCCAAAGGCTTTGTGGCTTATTTTTGTATTTTAGAACACACACACACACACATAGAGAGAGGGAGAAAGAGAGAGAGATAGAGACAGACAGACAGTCTGGGCCCCTGCTTGCAAACGATTGTCTGGACTTCATACACGTTCTGAAAGTTAAGCATGATTTAAGAGTCCGGGAAGTTGGGGACTTCTGAAGCTTTTCTGGCTTTTGAACTTTCTGCGTCTCCATTTCCTGTTCATTAGAGCAAATGCTGGCTGTCATAAAAGCAGGGTATTTTATCTAGGGTCAGAAAAACAAAACCTGGGAAACCAGTGAGTTAGCGCCAAGGCTTGTCTCCTTTTCTCCCTTTTGAGTAACGTGACTGAAATGCAGCCATCTGGTCCCCTGTAAGGTTTTCTGAGGTGCCCTCATAGGCAGGAGGAGGGATTGTAGGTCAGTAAAGCAAAGCACAAAGTATGAAATCATTGAGCAAGTCATTGACTTCCTGTTAGCCATAGGCATTGTGCTGTGGGGAAGATGTTGATACCTTGGGCCTGAATGCTGCTCTAAACTTGGCTATTCTTGCAAGACAGATTGAGTACACATGCAATAAGTTAGTCATTTGGAGCCAGAGCTATGGTATCGTAAGCTAAGCCTCTGCCTGTGATGGCACCAGCATCCCATTTGGGTGCTGGTTTATGTCCCCACTGCTCTACTACTAATCCAGCTCCCTGCTTACAGCCTGAGAAAGCAGTAGAAGATGTCCCAAGTCCTTTTGACCTTACGGTCACATGGGAGACCTGGAAGAAGCTCCTGACTCCTGGCTTCTGATCAGCTCAGCTCCGGCCATTGTGGCCATTTGGGGAGTAAACCAGTGGATAGAAGATCTTTCTCTTGCTCTAACTCTGTTTTCTGTAAAGCTGCCTCTCCAGATACATACATACATACTTATCTAAATCTTTTTAAAAACATGAAATAAAATGTGGTACCCAGTGTGAGGTTGAAGTAAAACTTGGAGAATGGCATTATTTCCAGGTAGAGCAGAAATCTTATTCTTGGTCAGCTGTATGTGAGGCTACGAAATAATCTACCTTCTCTGTGGTCCCCAGATACACGGTGGAATCCTGAGAATATTTCCAGAAGGCAAATCGTTTGTAGCAGATGTGGAGCCCATTTTTGATAGACTGTTGTTCTTCTGGTCAGATCGCAGGAACCCGCATGAAGTGCAGCCTTCCTACGCCACCAGGTAGTAGATTGGGCAATGATTGCTCTGCAGGCGCTCATGACGAGCCCCTCACCACCATTTCCAGGGAGCTCTCTGAACCTGGGGACACAGGGAAGACTGAGTGACCTAAAGCAAACCCATCTGCAGTCCTTAAAAACTAAAGGGGGAGATCGTGGCTTCTTTAGTACTAGTCTATGTCAAAACTTCATGCAATCACATTACAATCACAAAGGGTCCTCTCCTCCAAAATTAGAGATAACACATGAGCCTACTTCAAACATTTCATAGAAAATGGAATTTAAATGTAAGTCTATTTTGGTGCAAAAAAAATATCTGTTCATAAAAGGATCGTCAAGAAGCACTTAAAATATGAATTAGGAGAAAATCAATGTGAATTTCAAAAAAATTTCACATCAGAATAAACTTATATTTAAATTACATTTTTCCACCAACTCTTTGAAATGCCTTGTACTAAATGCCAAATCGTCTTGGACTCTAGAGGTGCAAGCATGAAATCTACCTGGAACTTGTTTTATGGAGTTGGGTAATCAGGAGCTGTCATCTGTGGCCGAAGTCTGGGCTTATTCCCCAGTCACACAATGGCTGACTCCACAGGGAGACAGGAGCAAAGCTAGAGTAGATGGAAAGTCTTTGGGAAGAGTTCCAGTAGATAATCAGCCAAGGAGACTTCCTGAAAGCCAAGCATCCATTGTTCCAGTTGATCCCAGGGATGGGACAAAGCCAATTAGTGGGCATGCAGTGGAAACCCTGAGGGCATTCTTATTCATTTCTTCACCATAGTAGCCAAAACTAGAGGAAAGAAGCCAAGAAATTTGCAGGTCCTGTGATTTAAAATAAGCTGTTTACCAAAATGTTACCTTCTGCCCAGTGTTTTCCCCCCAACGTCGATCACCCAGGCTTTGGCAGAATGATGTTCTTCTAGTCCTTTATGTATAGATCTCATTGACCTGTCGCAGTCCTTGTTTAATTCCCCATCGCCCAAGAGAAAAAGGAAGACCCAATCACAGGGTCAGTGAACTCATCATACCCGGATCATGCCTGGTGCATACCTGGAATTCCTTCTGTGTTCCATTGCATTTGAATGGGGTCAAAACCAGAGAAGTTAATTTTAAATTAAAATTGGAGTGAACTTCTGTTGGTTTGACAGACGAGTGTGAGAGCAGTATGGTAAGCCTAAACTCCTTATCCCTATTTATCTTTCAGATACGCTATGACTGTTTGGTACTTTGATGCCGAAGAAAGGGCAGAAGCCAAAAAGAAATTTAAGAATTTAACTAGTATGTGCTCACTTTTTTTGTTGTTGTTGTTACAACTTCTGATTAAGTCAATCAATGACTTTGAATTCTGTATAATCTCTAGTACACACGTTTGTATTGCAGTAGTGGTTTAGTGTCGTGTATAATGATATCCTGATGGGTTAATCTTGAAGCCTTGGCCTTTCCTCTTTTAAGAAAAATGGAAAGATCAGCTTCTGAGACTGCCCACTGGTGGTGTGATGGGAAAATTAACTTTGCATCATTGATGTTAACCAAAGGAGCAGTTAATCTTGCCTGTGATTCTGGAACATTTTTAAAGGAAATGGAAATCAGCTATGGCAGTTTATCTGTTATGTTGGCCTGGGACCAAGCCTCCTCTGTATGAAAGCAGGGCTCATGCCATATGCACTGAGTGTGTATCCCCTCCAACCAGGATTATAAACCAGCATCTCCCCAAATATGTCGCATTACGACGTTAATCTTGCAAAGTTGGCTTATGCAAAGGTAAATTACTGCTTCTCAAAATGTGGGAAATGCTACACGTTCTAGCTCTGTTTGGAACAATCACAGGGCTCCCTGGCCTGTGATTAAGTTTCTGAGAAACTGCACAGGAAAAAAAAAAACTACAAAAACAAAAAAACAACAACAGGTAATGTTGCTTCGCCCATGACCCATTTGGGCAATGTAGTTATCAAATGCCCAGGGAAGCAAACACCATTCGTGGAGCTCCATCAGAACGTTTGGCTTGATGTTCTGAGATGCATGTTCTGACTGCAGGTTCTTTTGGTTTGATTTGCTACTGTCTTTTCTTCCCTAACCCAGGAAAGAGCGAGTCTGCCCTCACCGAAGACTGAGTGTGCTCTGAAATCTGCTGGCCTCTTTCATTTTCGTAACCCTTCTCGCCTGCTCTTTAAGTTGAAATCCAAAGATGGCCTCTTCAATGACAACAAGCTTACCGTGACTGTTTGCCTCCTTCATATCCCTGTCTTGCGTGTGGTACTTCGTGTTTTCTTGCCAAGACTGCGGTGACTGACAGAGGCGATCTCTGCCAGATGGACCCCCTTGCTAACTCCAGGAAGACCTACAGACGTCCTTGCTGGCCGGCGCTGTAGTGGATAGGTTCGGTGAAACTGGCTGCTGAAACACAAGCCTGGGAGCACCAGGATGAATCTTCCTCGCACTTTATGGACGCTTCCTGCCTTGAAAGGAGGAGGTTTGCAAAGAAACAAACAAACCATGGTGACAGATATCACAGAGAGGCATTATTCAAATCTCAACAACAGGAAACAAATTTATGTCATCTGAACAATTTCCAGATGTTCTCAACCCAGGGGGCTGATGGGCTTTCAAGAGTATCAGCACAACCTAATGGCGTGATTACCTCTGGAAATGGCTGCTATTATTGTGGTCAGTTAATAACTGTCCCAAGGCGTGGACACATGTAGATACATATATTCTTTTTTTAGCTCTTAAAATCTGAACTTTCTGCCTCTGTCTCATTTTCCAGAAAATAATGACATTCTGATCAATGGTGATAGCACCCTTTATTCTCTTTTTTCACTTTTTACCCGGGGAACCTCATTCTCTCAAAGCTAACACTAGATATGAATTCTTCTATTGTGTGGTTGGAATAGAAATTTGAATTTAAATCAAAAGACCAGAGAAATCTATCTTGGTAGTTTGGTACCAACCTCTGAGAAGAGCATAGGTAAGTCTACTGATGTCCGTACAGTAGATGGGCATGTCTTGAACAATTGGAGAGGGAAGCTAGAGTTGGAAATACAGACTTCCCAGGATTTTTTCCCCTAGTTCTCATTTTTATTGAGCTCACTATTATTTGACAGAATCAAAAAGTGTCGGGTGCTGTATTATAAGTAGGAAATCAGAGTAAAAAAGAAAAAGACTCAAGCAGTTATTGGAATTCTTCCATGTTGCCTTTCCCTTCTGCCTCATCAGCCCCACTGCAGGTGACAGTGTGGCGTGAATCATGAAACTTGTTAGAGCCGTGGAAGCATCTCCTACTGCAGTCAGCAGAGACCCTGTTGCCTCAAGAACTCTGTGTTGAGCACCCATTGTATGAAACCTAGCCTTCCTACTTTGCATTTCTACTTGTGTTTTTTTTTTAATTCTTGCTTGAAAACCCTAAGAATATTGAGGAGCCAGCAATATTTTCATTTGTCATGTACAGATATATATACTTTCCAAGAAAGAAGTTTATTTTTTTTTCTTTCCTGGTTTGGGAAAATTTCCAGATAAAACTTATCATCATTCATTCTCACAGCTGCTCCATTTTGTTTCACTGTAGTGCTTACCACCTTCTAACTTGTTATGTAATTTACTTATTTATTTTGTTTATTGTCTTTTATCCTTCCTCTTGAGTGTGAGCACAATGAAGACAGGGATTTTGTATGTTTTTAATCAATGCAATATGTATTCCTAGCACCTAACATAGTGCCTGACACACAGCAAGGGCTCAGTAAATACTTTTGAATAAACACTGTCTCCTATGTTGTAATTCTAATGGTTTGATTCCTTTTCTTCATCTTTGACAGATGTGCCTACTAAAACCTTACCACATTTAAGCTAAGAGTTTTAGACAGCTTGGCCAGACTGTCATTTTTATGTTTCCATACGTAAGATACACCAACCATTGGCCACTGTGAATGTGAAAATTGATAAGTGATCATTCTGCCCTTTGCCTCTTGGGACTGTGATAGCTGAAAGGTGGCCACTGATAGCCTTTGGCACAGTTTTGAAAAGCAGAAACCAAGAAAGAAAGGAGGATGTGTATTAGGAATGTTATATGACTATGTTTTCATCATAATTAATATCATGAGATTGGTAGTGCCACTATTCTGAAGGACTGTGATGTAGTTCCAAGAGCGTGTCTTGTGTCATTCAGGTGAGTCAATATTTTGGCTTGCCAATAGATCTGACCTTTTACACCTTGCTATGCCTTTCAGACAAATGTTCATAAACTAATAAAGTAGATACCAAGTCCATTTTCATGCATGCTCATGAGTGAATCTGAGTTAAGCTGGAAAACAGAATGTCAATATTCCATGTCTGGTTTTTGCTTTTTACTTTATACCTCATTTAGGGGAGGATTTAGCCCTGCGGAAGAAACATTATTTGGCAAATAATCTGATCAATTTCATTTATATTCCTGGCAATGAAATGTTAAGAACCTACCTCACCATTACATCATCTATATAGTGCAGAGTCCTTGATAAGAAATTAAATTTTGAGCCAAAGATCCAATTTCATGGAAATCAAGTCTTACCTAAGTGCATTAAATAGATCTCTAATAGAGTAGTTAATACCAATTAAGTGCTGGGCCAACTGAATCATGATTTATCCATTCAGACATGACTTTGGTTTTCTTTAAATAACTCATTGTTTTTAGAGGCTGGGTCATCCTGATTTCTTTGGGCCATTCAGTCTTGAAATGCCCTGTATTGTTTTAGAGATTGGTGATGGAAAATGGAATTCCAGATGAGCAGTTGTTTAAGGTAAGAGTTTAGATATAGCACATGCTTTGATACTTGATCCACAACAAGAACCAGCACCAGGGAAAGGCTTCCTAAACCTTTAATGAAAAATATCAACTTTGCTTCAGTCCTGAATCTTCTGAATGGCTGAGAAAGAAGTGAGCAAGGTGATTAGAGACTGTGATCAAGACAGTGGAAACAAGCAGTTCTTTTAAACATGAAGATATCTGCAGTTGAACTCTGTTGGATAATGTCTATCTCTTCTGGTTAATATTAAAGACCCAGTCTATTTTTAGCCCTAGTCCACTGCCAAGCAGATAGGATTTTTAACATGCTGCCTTCCCACTGCGCTGATTAGTTATATCCTTCGAGAGGCCGGATTTATCATGGCTTATCATTGCGTGGTCAGGGTCAGGGTTAAAGTGCCGTGATGTACAGGGGCTAAGAACAATGGGTAAGATGACTCTAAATACTCAGAGGATACCTATATGCTGAGGCCTGTGCTACGTGCTCTCAAGTGTTTATTCTGCGTAACCACTGTGGACAGCCCTTCCTCTTCCACAGCTGAGGAAATGTGTTCAGAACAGTTCGGTGGCTTGTCCAAGGCTACACAGTGACGGAGTGGCACACCAGGATTTGACTCAAGACCTCCAGCTCCTCGCTATTTGTTGTCTTTGATACCTCCTTCCTGCTGAGGTGGCTCCGAACAAAAGAGCAGGAGGGAGCGGAGAAGGAGAGCTTGCAATGTTTGCTGCTTGATATTTTTATGTAATGTTATGGTTATTAACAAAGGCGTCATGCCTTGCGTTCTCTAGGAGTGTCAGTTATTCAATAAAAACCACAGAAGCAGAAAATACCGGCTTTCTGAATGAATTCTTTCTTGACTTTGCAATGGGATCTCCCCTGCACGTCTCACAGGATTGTGTCGGAGTGTGGGGCTCCTTCTGGGTGTGAGCTGGATGGGGTGCGCCCTCACTCTTGTATCCAAAACCGCTGGATGTGAACGCACACTGTGATTCTTGGTGTAAGGTGGAGACTTTGTGTCAGGCTGCAGCACACTGGGCCATTCAGGCAGTCTGCAAGCTGTCATCTTCAAGTCCCCAGGTCAAGGAGGGACCTGACTTCCCAGCTTGGGCTGGAGGGAGAGCCGAAAAGTTAGCGGGGAGTTCTGTTACTGACGGTTTTGTCACCGCTGTGTAACAAGGGCCTGGGCCATCTTTACTAATGTTTTTAAGTGACTTATTGAAGACTGAATCTTAATTTTGTTAAGTTACACAGTTCTTTGAATTACGTTTCTTTCTTGGATCTTGTTTGTTTGATCTTGGATAAATGTAGCATTGAAGAAAGTCAGCTCTGGTGCAAGGATCCACTGCTGCAACTAAGATTTAAGATACATTTATGGTCCTGGTGTGGTAGCCTAGCAGCTAAAGTTCTCGCCTTGCAAACCCTGGGATCCATATGGGCGCTTGTTCTAGTCGCAGTGGCCCCGGTTCTTATCCAGCTCCCTGCTTGTGCCTTGGAAAGTAGTTGAGGATGGCCCAAAGCCTTGGGACCCTGCACTCACATGGGGGACCTGGAGAAGGCTCCTGGCTCCTGCCTTTGGATTGGCTCAGCTCTCTGGCCATTGTGACCACTTGGGGAGTGAATCATTGGACAGAAGATCTTTCTCTGTCTCTCCTCACAGCATATCTAACTTTCCAGTAAAGGTCAAATCAATTTTTTAAAAGATGTGTTTATAAAGGCTATAGTGATTTTTCTTTAAATGTTGGAGAAACAGCTCAGATGAGTGAGCAGTGAGTGAGTAATCATTGCGTCACTAGAAACAAATGTAGTAGGTGGTCTTTTGTGCTTACTTCTTGAGAGAAAAAGCTCTTGTCCCTGCAACTGATGCATGGTTTCTGGAGATGTAAAAGGTGATTTGAGATTAAGGAATATAAGGAACATTAAAGGACTTTTGGGGGAATTTGGGTGTCGGAGAGCAGGGTCTGCGTGTGCTGTGTGTTTGAAGGGAGCTAAGTTCACAGGTCTCTGAGAAGCTGCAATGGGATGAGAAAGAGCTATTCTGGCAAGTTCTTCCTTTCAGAGGCTGGGCAGGGATAAGGAACAGTGGCAAGCAGCTGGGGAAAGCCTTCAATATTCAGACTGTCTGGGGTTTGAGAGTGTTTATGGGGACCGTGTTACCTGCCATAAAATTCTGCAAAGTGGGATATCCTCAGCACCTTTTTCTAATGGACTCTTTCTTTTTTAAGCTAACACAAGCACGTGGTTGGGGGTGTGAAATGCGCTCATCCTGGAAAGTATTGAAGTTTAAACAGAAATCAGTTTCTTCCAGAAACAGGTTCTTGGCCAGTTGCTGATGTAGTCCCTGTGGGTTTTGGGGCTTGACTCATGCTCTGGGCTGTGTCGGAGCGGAGCTGAACAATCCTGAAAGCCAACACCTCCTCAGTGGTTCTCCCCAGCACGTTGGGCACGTTCGCTCAGTCATTTCCTCCCATTTTTGTGCTTATTCATCCTGTGGCTTGCATTCTTCACCCAACTGTGTTGTTGTTGTTTTTTCCACACTCCTGCAAGGAGAGATAACATTCTCAGGTCTTAATTCTCATCTGATAAGTTTTATTTTTAACCAGTCCGGACCTCCTTCCCTCTGCTTCTTTTTTCATGAGCCCATGCACGCACGCGCACGCATACACACACACACACACACACACACACACACTTCTTCCCAGAGAGGTGTGTGCAAGGAATGCCTAGTCACAGTGTCCGGTGCCAGCGTCTTTCTCTGAGGGCAGCTCGTCAGAATCCTAGATTCTGCCTTAATTTCCCAGGGCTGGGACATTTCCTCTTGTGCGCGTGTTCCTGTTTTCAACCAGCCCTGGTGTTTCCCTTCTGCGTGTCTACATGGTCCCTTGTGTTGGTAAATTGTATTATCTTGATAAAAAGAAGCACTGCTTTGCGGGGGGAGGTGTGGAAAGGAGACTACTGTGAGTTGCAGTGATTACAAGGTACTGGTCACCCATCAAGGATGGCCTGGAGCCACTTACAGAGTAGACATCAAAGGACTCGGTCCACGCTGATGCTCGGCTTGGGAGAGGATCCAACACTGTCCACCCAAATGGAGGGCAAGGGATCGAGGTTTTGTTTTATTGTCATCTGACCTCCGACCATGGCTTTCCCAGAAAAGTCTGTTGGGAATCAACTGTTATCTCAGCCACTCAAGTCCGCACACATTCCTTTTTTTCTTTGGAGCCTTTGCCTTCCCCGACTTCCCCTCTTCAAGTATGACTAAATACGGTTACGGCTGAAACTTTTCCAAACTCACACAAGAGTCAAGAGGAAGTGTGTAACCTGGAGAGGGGAATGGGGTTTGCAGGGGCTGACTGCATTCTCCAGAGAGGGGTGTGCATGGGAATGTGGCTGGAGACGTGAATTTCATGGCTTCTGACTGCGTTTTGTTCTCAGTGGACCAGTTGTCTCTCAAGTGTCACTTAGCTCTATCATACATCATGTCTTTAGTTACTTAACATCTCCTACAGCCATGATAGGCATGGGGAAACATTTTTTTTTTAATGGTGATATAGCTTCAGAGAATGAAGACTGTTACCAAATGACTTTAGAACACTATGAACATTTCTGCTATCTATTATGATAGAGCAACAAGATGCTAGAAGGAAATATGTCACACACACACACACACACACACACACAGTACACCTACTGAAATAATTGGAGAAAAATAAAAGGAGTTTCCATCAAGGTGCAGAGGAGATAGGGCAACCACGAGAATGCAGGGAACCTGACTTAACAGCAGGTGGTATCACTTAGTGGTGTCAAGAACTGCAGGAAGGAGGCAGTAACCAGCAAAAGAGGCTGGGTGGGATGACTGCCTGCCAGGAGCTGGGACGTTTGCGGGAGGAAGCCATGGGACTCTGCCAGAATGGAACCAGAGGAAACAGGTGACAGGTAAGCCTGTGATTGTTGCTACCACTAGTATGGAACAGAATGGAACAAAACATCGTTGCTTCTA